AATAGGGAACTTAGACTCAGGGATTTCTAGCTTTCCTTTCCTCTTCTCTATCCTTCTTTCTTAGGTAAAGAGAAGGGTGTTGAAAAGAAAAAGGGGGGATATAGTAATATTATAAGAAATTAGACAAATATGAATTTTAAAATCTACTCATGAACAAAAGCATTTTATAGCCATAATCTTACATTGATAGAGATCTTTATACTTTGATACAGAATTGAGGTTATATTTTCTTACACTGATACAGATTTTTGTATACTGATACAGGTTTAAGGTTTTCATTTTTATAAATCTTTGTACATTGATACAAAATTTAAGATTACTTTTGTTACTCTTAGATAGTGTCTTAGTTAGGGTTTTACTGCTGTGAACAGACACCATGACCAACACGACTCTTATAAGGACAACATTTAATTGGGGCTGGCTTACAGGTTCAGAGGTTCAGTCCATTATCATCAAGACAGGAGCATGGCAGCATCCAGGCAGGCATGGTGCAGGAGGAGCTGAGAGTTCTACATTTTCTGAAGGTCACTAAGAGAAAACTGGGTTCCAGGCAGCTAGGGTCTTAAAGTCCACACCCACAGTGACACACTTCCTTCAACAAGGCCACACCTCCAAATAGTGCCACTCCCTGGGCCAAGTATATTCAAACTACCACAGATGGGCATTGTACATATGCAACTCATTTAAAAATACAAGGTTTAATCTCATTCCTTTTAATAGGTACTATTATAAACTGTTTAGGATAATTAGTAATGCATGTTAACATTCAGTCAGTCAAGCTTATGGTGTCGTCAGATACTAGCCTGTATTATCACAGAAATATACATCCTGGGTTGCACAGATAATAGAAGCTGGAAACAGGCAACATTTGCTTGTTCAGATATGCTCTGAATAGATAGATGGTCTTCAAACCTCAGAGATTCACAGAATGAGGCATTTAAAGATTTTTCTAGTAATTTAAGGCTTATTGTATATAATAAAAATTGTGTGTCTTTTATCCAGGAACTGAATGATCAAGGTGGGGTAGAAACCCTAGATTGGGAATGAAAATGTCTACAATGTATCTCTAAGGTTTTTTTTTTTAAGATATTGAAATAATTACAGACGATACATTGCAAAACTAGGATAGAATTCTCTGGACCTTGGACCCAGCTTCGCTCCACTGTGACAAAATTTTACTTATAGCATAATTCTAAAATCCTACCCACAAGTCAACCTTATTCTATTTCCAAGTCCAGCAGTTTTTCAATCTCGTATTCAGTTTCCTGCAGCTTTAGCCCTTGTCTAGACTCATGGAATCATCATCACAAGCCGCTACACTTCCATCAGCAAGGGACACTGCCTCATAGGTTTTGCTCCTCCCTGCTTCCCAGACTGTCACCTAACTAGAAATCACTTCTCTGTTCTCCAGCTCTGCAGTTTTCCACATTTTAAAAATTATATAAATGTTACTGGTCTCAGTTTGGCTCCTATTGCTGTGACAGAATGCTGACCAAAAGCAACTTACTGAGGAAATGGTTCATTTTGTTTACATATCCCAGTCATGATCACACTGAGGGAAGCCAAGGAAGGAACCTGGAGGCAGGAGCTTATACAGAGACCATGGAAGGCAGATGCTTACTGGCTTCTTGCCAATGGTTTGCTCAGCCTTCTTTCTTACACAACCAAGAAGCACCAGCCCACGGTGTTGGCCCTCCCAGTAGGCTGGGCCATCCCACATCCATCATTAATCATTAAGGAAATATGCCACAGTCTGCCTTCAAGCCAACCTGATAAAGTATTTTTTCAACTGAGGTTCTCTGTAAAAATATTATATTCATTTTTCCTTCCCAGTCCTGTTCCTGGGATGACAACTCTGAGACCAGTTATTATTTCATGCATAGGCCATAGCTTTGGCTCATTCCCTGACTAGCTCTGATCAAACCCATTCAAACTCTCTGTCTACCACTTGGTTAGTTACCTCTCCTTCAGTCCCAGGCCACTTCTTCCTTCCTGTCTCCTTGGCGTCTCTCTGAGTTCATCTATCTGCTGGTTTATGTCTGTCTCCTTGGTCTGTCTCCCTTTTCATCTCTCTCAGCTCATCTCTCCCATCTCTCCCCGTGTCTCTCTTTTATCTCTTACTATTCCCAGAATCCTCTCTTCCTGCCAGTGTCCCATCTCCTATTTCCCGTCTCAGCTCATTGGCCATTGCCCGACTCTTTTATTGACAGGTAGAAATTCTCTCTACAGTTCTCTTTCCAGATGACTTCAGCTTGTGTCAAACTGAAGAAGATAAATAAATAATAATAGAAAAGTAGTAATAATAAATCACATTGTATAAATGGAATTATATATAATATAAACACATGAAACTGAAAACTGAATTCTTAAAAAACTTGTGTTAGTAAGCTTTAATCCCAGCATTCAGAAAGCAAGGCAGGAAAGGATCACTAAGAGTTCTAGGGCAGTCAGAATTACAGTGAGACCCTGTCTCAAAAAAAAAAAAAAAAAAAAAAAAAAAGCCTTAACATGCACTGATGAAATGCTCAACCTGACCACCATTATGAAGTCTATAATTCAGAAGTGCTAGCATGCCTGCTCTTCAGTTTCTACCCTTTTTCTCTGAGTTTGACTACTTGGAAAGCTCAAGTAAGTAGAATCACTCTGTATGTGTTTTTGTTGATGTTTTGCATTTTAATGACTTGCTCACTTCATTTACCATATATTTTCAAGATTCATCTCTGTTGTTAACATGCCAGTTTTTTTGTTTTGTTTTGTTTTTTTTACAGTTGAAAACCATTCCAATGTATGCGTAGACCACACTTCATTGATAGATTTCCCCACTGGTGAGCACAAGATCTGCTTCCACCTTCTGCCTATTGTAAATATTAGAAACATAGATATATAAATATCTGAGACTGTTTTCAATTCTTTTGGAAATATATTTAGAGATAGAATGGCTGAGTCACATGGTAACTCTGTTTTTGGGTTTTTTTTTTGTTTTTTTTTTGTTTTGTTGTTTTTTGAGACAGAGTTTCTCTGTATAGCCCTGGCTGTCCTGGAACTCACTCTGTAGACCAGGCTGGCCTTGAACTCAGAAATCCGCCTGCCTCTGCCTCCCAAGTGCTGGGATTACAGGCGTGCGCCACCACCACCTGGCTCTCACACGGTAACTCCTAATTTTTTGAAGGATTAAAACTCTTTACTTTGCATAACCTCTGTGGGATTCATTCAGTTGTATGCAGTGATATCAATATTCTTCTTCTTCCTTTTTTTTTTTAAATCAAATTGTGTTTGTATTGACGAGGGCAAATACAGGTTGTAATAGGTGTGTATACACGAGGCAAGAGGTGGAAGTGTCTTCCTTATCTTGCTCCACCTTATATTTTGAGACAAGGTCTCTCATTGAATTCACTAATTATGTAGGCTGGCTGGTCACTGGGCTCAAAGGGACAGCCTGTCTCCATACTGCACACCAACACTTAGGTTACAGAATCTACCTGCATCTACTTGCACTCTTTCTCAGTGCCCAGTTTTTTTGTTGGTACCTGGAATCTAAACTCAGGCCCTCAAGCTTGCACGGTAGGCAATTTAATGACGGAGACATCTTTTCAGCTCCATCAAATAGAATTTTATGGTTATGTATGTATCACAGTTTGATCAACCAATGACCAATAAATGAGGTTTGGGTTGGTCTAACACAAATACCCATGCTGAGGATCTTCCTTTTCATTATCAACACTTTGCTGTCAAGACTTTGGCAAACTTACAGCCACTTTTCAATATTATAAACATCCCTGTATAGATTTTGATATAGACAAGCTTTTTTTTCTTTAGGATAAATGTTTATGAGTATGATGACAAGACGTATAATATAATTGTAGTCAATTTAATTTTATAAGAAATTTCCATCTTCCAGATTGGCCATAAGATTTACATACATGACAAATCTAGTTTTTCTGTTTCTTCACCAGGATGTCCGACTGTAAATCTGTATTTCATTCCTCCTCATACCTTTGTGACAGATCTCATAGTAATGTAAATCTGCATTTCTCCTAGGGCTAATTGTTTTGAACATTCATAAGCCTACCTGCCATCGTTTTGTCTAACTCTTGTTTGCTTTTTCACTGTTGAGTTTGAGAGTTTCTTGTTTAGCCTGGAATCTGCTGGTTTAGCTAGACTAAATGTCCAGCAAGCTACAGGGATCTTCAGTTTCTTCATCCTCAGTGCTGGGATTACAAAGCTCCAGCCTTTGTACAAGGTTGTGGGGATCTAAACTAGGTCGCCGTACTTGTTCAACAAGTACTTTACCCAAAGAGAGCTCCTCAATCCTCTTTGTACTATTTTTATTCTAGTAACTTTTCTGTGTGCTTGAAATAATACAAAACATGAGGTATGAGTCGTTTTTTAAGTGGTAATTTTTTTTAACCCTAATGGTAAGTTTACCACTAGTCTGGCATTAAATGGTAAAAGCCTGAGTACTGACTTCGCCCTGGATAGTCCAATACCTGGATATTTGTTAAAAACTGCCTATTCTGTCTGTCTCACTTGTCTTAATCTTTCTGTAGGTGAACAATTTAACTTGTGCTGTAGACCAGGCTAGCCTCGAACTCAGACATCAGACTGCCTTTGCCTTCCAAGTGTTGGGATTAAAGACACCCGCCACCACTGCCTGGCTCTATTCCATTTTTAAAATACCACTTCTTGAATGTGACTAAATAAATATACATCTCTGACGTCTTCACCAATCACGAAGCATCTGCATCTCTGTTAAGCGAAACTGTACAAAAACATTCAAGTTTTTCTTTTAAGAAAACCATTTATCCACTTAGCTGAGCCAAGTAGAAGAATGTTAAAGGGACACCGAAGAATGTCTTCAACGATCAAACGAAAGAAGGGATAAAAGAACTGGCCAGACCCAGAGTTAGCATGAGTGTCCTAACCAGAATAACTTTTTAAAAAGAAAAAAAAAAAAAAAAGAGGAGTGGGTCCGCTGGGTCATTGGGAAGGGGGTGGCTCACCTGGCAGTGGTAAGCAGAGGGTGCTGAGTCCCCACCAGCTTCCGCACCTGCATAGCGATGTTGCTGAGCTCGTCGCTCAGCAGGCAGCGGAGGCTCATGAAGGATGCGGGATAGCCCACGATCTTCTCTGCCTCTGACACCACTTGGTTCCAATGGGCTGGAGACCTGGAGGACCGACCACGCCAGGAGCCTACCGAGGAGATGGTGTCGAGGGATCGGAAGCACCACCACTGGCGATTTGGGGGACCAGAAGCCCCGAGATAACCGGACAAGCGCAACAGCAGCTGCCGGAGGCTCATAGTTTGAGTCTGAGAGGGTCAGGGACCTGAGCAAGGTGTCCAGAAATGACACGGGAAACAAACAAGGGCTGAGGAGAAACTTTCAGAATCTAAAAGGAAACGGAGATTCCAAACCCTCAGAGAAGTGTGGCTTTCCTGGAGCCGTAACCAGGAATAAACTTTGCTGCTTCCGCAGCGCAGTCTAGCGTAACCCCAGCTGCTGCTCAGAACTACACTAGCCACCTGCCGTGGAAACCACAGCCAGTGCCTACATGGGGGACGCCATATTGGAGGCATGAAATGCGGACTGCCGTAAAGATGGGGGCGGGATGATGGGCGGCATAGTGTGCGCCTTACTTTACGGCACAGCTCAGACCTCCCCCCAAGGGGCGGGGCCTCGGCGAAGACCGGAAGGCGAGAGGACGGATGGAAGGAAGTGTCTGTCCTTGGACTTGAGTGTCCGCCCTTTGGCACCTCTCTAGCTCTGGATCTAGGCGGACTCCGGGTCTCTGTAGCGTTTTCCCCGGCCCAGGCCCGAGTAAAGCCTATGTAAATAAATATCTGTGTCGTGAGTCTGCAGTGAGATCGTGGGGCGGAGGTGCAGGCTGGTCAGGAAGCCTTTTACTTCTGTGCGCCTTAAGCCCTCGGTGGGTGCCGCGGACGCGGGAGGCGACCCCTCTAGCTGGACGACGACGTATCCGCTGCGGGCCCCCACAGAGCTGGAGCGCAAGTCGATCGGTGGGGCTGAACCCTGCTCCCCTCAGCTCCCTGGCCGAAGTGCCAGGATTTCTGTGAAAAACCCAGACACAAGCTTTGCCTTCTGCATAAGGATGTTGTGAGAATGGAATGAACCGTTGCTTGCTCCCCATTCTCGTTTCTTGGCTCCGGGATTGAAAATTCACTGGCATGAGTGCCTTTTACATATTAGCTCACTTAATCTCCTGTTTCATTTTAAAGATAATACTATTCCCTGGGTTTTAGTGGGAAAACTGAATGAGTCACAGCCAAATTGTAAGTTGATATGGTCACATTAAGCAAGAATGTGAACCCAGAGAATTTGGTCTCTTTTTCTCCTCTCCTTTGGACTAGGGGTAGAGGCCAGGCCTCATACAGTAATGCTAGTCTAGTGCTTTACTTCGGAGCCCGAAGTACCCGACCTAACAATCTGGTTATTTGAATACATACTCTTAACCACCACATTAAGTAATATGCTACCAAAAATTCTTTCTCGTTGCTAAAGTAAAATTGTCAGTGTGAAGATGCTTTCAGTGCTAGATGGAATGTTCTTTTCTAGGCCACGGTGGCCCGAAACTTACTATGTAGCAAACTGAACCCAACTTCTTGACCTCATCCATCTCTCAAGTCCTGGGATTACAGATGAGGGCCGCTCTGCCCTTCGGGTAGTACCTACTCAAGCATGTCTAGCGTCTTGCCCTTTCTTATTAGACAAAACAAGTGTTAAAGTCCTTGTTAATTATCAAAAAGAAAAAGAAAAAAAATACAAAACCTTAAATTCAATCCCTTGGGAAGAAAAAAGTAACATTAAGATAAGTAATGTAAAAACAATAAACGACTTGTTACCTACACTCAGGGATGGTTTTTAAAATTCACGTGAGCTTTCAAAAAATTCATAGTTGCTATTTTTTAAGTTCACGATATGTAAATGAACTAAAAAGACAAAGAGAAATTGTTCATACTGCAAGACAAGATATTTTAGCCACAAAAGGTTTAGCTGCAGACTCCCTGTGAGGGCCAGACTCCTGGGATTTAAAGATTCTGTTTTTGAGCCAGGAATGATGGTGCTTACCAGTACTCAGAGGCAGAGGCAGAGGCAGAAGGATCTCTACATTCACTGGCAGCCTGGCCTACATAGCCAGTTCTAGGCTAGCCAGGGCTCCATAGTGAGACCCTCTGTGTGTGTGTGTGTGTGTGTGTGTGTGTGTGTGTGTGTGTGTGTAAGTATATATGTGTGTGTATATATATGTCTATATTAGTGTAGATAAAACTTAGAATATTTTATTAAAGGTGAATTCTGTTTTAAAAGTCTCCCCACAAGGGAGGTTCTATGTAAGACAGAGATTCCTAACAATAAAATCTAAGTATGCTACCAAGTATGCTACTATGTGAAAATAAATCTAAAAGGTAAAATATTTTACCATTCTAAAAAGTCCCAAGGCCTGAGCTTCTGGGTTATCCAAGGAGAAAGTAGTCAGGAAAATCCAGAGAGAGAGAGAGAGAGAGAGAGAGAGAGACTGAATGTGATATATTGTGCACCTGAGGGTGTGTCTTCAGGATCATGGTACCTTAAGAGTAACTTGTCACACATTTGCTTTAATAACTATGCACAGCATGTACTTTAATTTCTCCACAGACGCCAAGTGCATTATTCTCTGGTCTTGGTCTATTAGCCAAGTTTTTGATTATTCATGGGACTTCTGCTCCCATTTACTTTAAATGACCAGCACTTTCCTTTATACTTAACAGTTAAAAGGTTGCATTGTGTCTAATGATAATCAGTTTTAGAAGATTAAAATGATATTTGTTCTTTAGTCATATATATAGCTAAAGAGATGTCCAAATTTCAAGTGACAGGCTATGAGGAGTAAGGACATCTAATGCCACTAAGAATGCGGAATAGCATGCAGCAATTAGAAGATCACAGTATTGTGTATACATTTGCATTATGACCCAGAAACATCAGTTTTAGGAACCCAATCCAAAATGCAAAGTGACTGAAGCAAAAGGTTGTTCATTGCTGTGTTTATTTTAACAGAAGATAATCCAAACAACCTCAAAGTGGGGACTAATTGAACTAAAGTAGCTGCATCTTGAGACACACCTGGAAAAAAAGAGGATCACCTCTGTACATCTCTCAGGATGTACATCGAATTCAAAAATACAAAGTGCAGAGTAGTGTAACACGTTTTTCATGAAATAGGTAAGAGTAGGACTGTATTTTGGTATATATTCTGAACAGGAAGGAACAGACGTCAGCATGGAGACTAGTGATGGAGACTAGTGACTATTTTATAATCCTTGCCTATATAGATTTGGTTTTCCTCTCTCTCTCTCTCTCTCTCTCTCTCTCTCTCTCTCTCTCTCTTCCTTTCTTTTCTTTCAAGACAGGGTTTCTCTGTGTAGCCTTGGCTGTCCTGGAACTCACTCTGTAGACCAGGGTGGCCTCGAACTCAGAAATCCTCCTGCCTCTGCCTCCCAAGTGCTGGGATTAAAGGTGTACACCACCACTGCCCGGCTAGATTTGGTTTTCAAATCATATCTACATTTTATGTATTCTAAATAATTTGAAATACGAAAGGAAAATCTAATTCCTAAAATTTGAAAATTCACGGAAGCAAATGATATACCTGTGTACTAAGTTGCCGTATCATACCAAGAAATTACTAATGACTTAAAAAAATGGTGTTTTCATCATACGTTATCCATAGATACGTTATTCATGTTCCCTGGAAGAGCAGAGCTACAGGAAAATGTCTAGCTTCATTCTTATGCCTCATAGACATATAGACGCTATTACTTTCTCATCCTATATGTTATATGCAGAGAATTGTTAGGAATGTGGATATTTCAGAGTAACTAACATCCCTTTAATACTAAAGTTGAGTTAGCAGTAGTAAGTTTATGACTTTTTTCAGAAATGTTTCTTATATTGTAATAAAAATGTATTTATTGAAAAAGCAAAAGCTTTTGCTTGGTGTATCAATTGTATAGTATAAGAATTTTTAGCGCTGTGTTGCATTTTTGACACATTGCTTTCTATAAAAAGTAGGGAAGTACTCTGGAGAATAATAAATTGTGCCCCCTCTTACACACACACCAAAATAAATGTAATGGATGTCTTGTAGTCTCAGAAATCAAGGAAGCCATTTAAGTCTAAGAGACTAGTGAGACAGAACAAAGATCCAATGACATCAACATAAAAGAGTTGAGAAGGGGACAGTGTGACCATCAAAAAGTAGTAAGAAGTTCATTGGTCACACATGAGCTCATGCGTTCTTAACTACATGCAACTTGGGCAATGATCTGAATACCATCAATGAGTAAAAGAATTGAGTGTTTATCCTGCCTTCCCTGTGTTCTGCTCAGCGGTCTTTTATCCTGGCTCGATCGCCCTCTTGAAAACTGAACCTGAGACAAGGGCTTACTCTTCAGGTCGTTGATTTTGGACCATGATCTCAGGATAACTAGGGAAAGTGAAACAAGGAAAGGCAGTATGAGAGTGTTCTTGAATTAGTCACCACCATGGGCAATGAGGCTTCGAGCCACGTAGAGCAGACCTCAGAATCACCAGCTGAGGTAAGAAGAGAGCACATATTAATCATCCTGCACCTCTGCCTGGTCCAGGTTTCCATCTCGGGGCTTTGGCTCCTCATACCTCCAGGGTGTAATAAATGTGTTAGACAGATGTATCCCTCACCTCAGAGATCAGGGGTTCATGGTGGAAGGGCAGAAGATGAGATCTATGAGTGTCCCAAATATCTGCGAATGTATACAGTGAAGACAGGTACTGTTGAGTAATGGTTCTGAGAAGCAGGTAGCACAGAAACAGCCACAGCAAACGATGGTTTGGGAGGGTATAAAGCAGGAGACGGGCCTTTACTAGTAGGGTAACCAAATTGCCTCGATGGTAAAAATAATTCCATTGAATAAAAAAGAAAGGATAAAATTAAGGAACCAGTGTTTTGTAATTCTTTGTAGATTTGTTGATTCAAGCTTCAGACATTTCATCAATGAGAGGGAGGCTGGTAGAGTCCCTGTCCAGGGAGAGCATGGCAGACACCCTTTGTAACTAGTTGTCCAACTTGTTGTCAACAGGGGAGGTCCATGAATACCTACATCCTAGTGAGGGACATCAGAAGGACACAACTCCACCTAAGCAATATTTTATCAAAAATCATTGACTCTAGATCTCAACAATTCTCTACTTTCCAATCTTTAACAATTTCAGAGAAGTAGATCAATTAAGAAGCCACGGCAAGAAAGCCAGCCAGTAAATCCAGCCCACGGAAGAACTACAAGCAAACTACATGATTTTTTTTTCCAACAAAGAGACAAGGAGAGAAGAAGAGAGTGAGTGAAGGGATTCTTCTAGATGAGATTTTAAAGAGAGCTAACCATTGCTACACTTGTTTGGACTTGTTGACAAGCCGACTCTTAAAAACTCAAAAAAAAAAAAACCTTGAATATGCTTTTGATATATCAAATACTGCAAGGTAGTTATTAATCAGTGTAGGTCTGTAAGAAAAATGTCAACATTTTTAATTGATGCATTCTAAAGG